CCCCCCACACACACACACACACACACACACACACACCCTCCAGCAGACGGCTCTAAGAAAAGCCCTGTGTGAGGAATACCGAGGAAGCAGCTCCTCCCCCCCCAGGTTGTGTGGAAATGTCACCGCTCTCTGCATCACAGGTGGTATATTTGGAAAAGGTGTGGGCAGTGGGGGCTCGTGCACGCCCCTGGGGGCTCGTGCACGCCGCCGCGGGCTCGTGCACGCCCCTGGGGGCTCGTGCACGCCGCCGTGCACGGAGCAGCGTTTGACTCCACACAGGGGGACGAGTCATCCGCCATGGAGCCAAAACTGAAGCGTTTTGGGTTTGAATCGGGAGGCTGGGGGGGTGGGAGGGGGGGGGGGGCCCGGTTGCCCCGGTAACTGACGGTACTCACGTCGGCGAACCGAGGCAGCAGGTGGAAGGGGAGCAGGCCTTTGGGGGGGGGGGGGGGGGGGGGGGTCCTGCCCGGCGTGGGAGGAGCCAATGGCGGCACGCTGCTGTGACACACATGACCTGAGGAGGAGAGAGGAATCAGGAAGCTGGAGACATGAGACATATAACCCCCCCCCGCCCCTCTTTAAATTCTAACTAAACTATTGGCATTATCATTTATTTTAGACCTATTTATACAGTATATACAGATAGTTACTTATGTATATATTTATTTATATCTTGTGTAGAATCGTATATATATATTTACAGTGGGGGAAATAAGTATTTGACCCCTTGCTGATTTTGCAGGTTTGCCCACTTACAAAGAATGCAACGATCCAAAACTTTAATCATATATACATTCTAACAGTGAAAGACAGAATCCCAAAGAAAATTCCAGAAAATCACTTCATATGAATTTATAAAAATTGATAACCATCTGATGAGGAAAAATAAGCATTCTTTGTAAGTGGGCAAACCTGCAAAATCAACAAGGGGTCAAATACTTATTTCCCCCACTGTATAAATATATGTGTGTGTGTGTGTGTGTGTGTGTGTGTAGACATGTATGCTGTTGTATATCTGGAGTTAGTAACAAAAATCATTTCCCTCTGGGATTGTTAAAGTATTTCTGATTCTGATTCTGATTCTGATGAGGCACAGAGGAGGGGAATCCATTCAGACGATGATGATGAGAGCTAATAGAGCTAATCGATCTAAGAGCGCTATGAGAGCAGACTGTTGTACTCAAATCTTGATTGTTTTGGTCCAATCTGGAATTTAAATACACAGATGACGGTGTGAGAAAACAATCAGAGGCCCATTCCCACCAACAGGATGGCATCAGTGGGAATAATCATGTTTTAAAAGCTGTTATATATATACACGTATACACGTATTATAGGCCAGCAGACACATTCAAATGAGCCCGATTCAGTTATAGAGAATACAAATTTACTTATCTAAATAGGTGTTATTTACTCTTTCCTTACACCCGTTTATCAGATGCTTTCATCCAAACTGACAAGAAGCCGAGAACCCACTGAGTTTTTCATTAAGTTTCCCAAACATCCTCCAACATGTGGGCAGCTGTTTGAGTTTCATCTCCCCCAAAACCAGGACTAATCTGCCCTGTTTCCCCCGGGCCTGAGGATAAAAGAGTTGCATTACTCTAATCACTCATTGTTGATTCCACCTTTGGTCCACTCTTTCCTTTCTCTGGACCCATTTCTTTCTCTAAAAGTAGAATTTAACAAACCATTTCTAAGTATTTTTCAGACAAAGAGAAGTTAATGACCAACCTCATCATCTAACACAATGGGCCAAAATTGAAGTCCAGCACTTAAAAGTCTGCAGGCGCGTGCACGCAGGGTCCAGTCCAGCCCAAACCCCCTGTTTCTGGTTCCTGATTGGGGGAGCCCCCGGTTTGCACGTTCTCTGTGCCTGATTACAGCCGCTGCCCGCGTGCGTAATCACCCAAATCAGAGTCAAACCGCACGCCCATCCGCTCCGCCACCAGCCTGATTGCTTCTGGCCCGTGTCCTGCGTGCACGCGCGTGCACGCGCGGGGAACGGGGTTACCACTTGAGCAAACTTCACCC